ACCCAGCACACTCACTAGCGGTCCACGTAGGTCTGGACGAGGCCAACTTAACTTAGTCACAGGATATGCCTCTTGGCACTGAAAAGAGGTAGTGCCCCCCAAATCTAGGATTTGCCCCCTGGATCCCTCTGCTTCTTAGCATTTCCTGAGGCATCACCAGCCGTTCAATGTGTGCCAAGGAAAAAACATTCGGTGGTGAAACGAATTTGGAAGATGCCACACAGTCCATCTCTCTTTAGCTACTCATCGTGCACGCTGCAATATTGAAGCCTCGTGCCATGTCTTGCCATAACGAAGCCATCTGACTTTCTTTAATCATGTGCTTGTCAAGTCATCTGAGCGTGGACCCATTTATTTATGTAAAACCTGTGAGTTGCACACAACACATTTTGAGAAGTGCTGTCTAAAATTTGCATAAGTTGAAGAGAGATATGGAAGAACAATGTATATACTGGAAAAGAAATGAGATCAAGTTCATAGATGGCTGAGCAAGAGCTCTGCAGAGATATCCCTATAGACACTTGCGTGACCGTCCTTAGAATCACCCACACAAGATTCCTTGTGGCTACTGGCAGAGAGGGAACAGTATGCTGGGTTGGCCAGGCTTTTCGCTCATGAGGTTCTTTATTAATTGTGAGGGTGTTGATGACTGTGTGTGTGTGTGTGTGTGTGTGTGTGCATGTGCATGTGTGTGTCCTGGATAATCAGAAGGCTTCTGAAAGAAAAGTATTGGGACAAGAGTGAAAAGGCAGGAAGTGGCTTTGGCCCTCATCATGGATTTGTGATGTGACATCTCTGTTCCTCCATGGGTGAGAGTGGGTGTTACTGCATAGCTCTGGATCCCTCTGCCATCAGGCAGCCCCTAAGGAACCAGGAGGTCTCCCTGGACACTTGGGACCTCAGCAGATGCTGTCTGAAGGTGGAGAGGGGGAGGAGGAGGTTGTCAGGCTGATGACATAATGTCTAAGTGTTTGGGTCACCTCGGGAGGAGCTGAGTGTCGGGTGCAAAGGGCCATGTCACTGCTGAGGAAGACACGAATGGACTGTCAGACTCCCAGCAGCAGTCTGACTAGCTCTGCACGAGGCTCTAGTCACAGGTTCCTTGAAGAAAGACCTTCTGGTTTTATGACAAGAACCATCTTGAGCTAGCTGAAGAAAAAAAGTTACTTTGGGTAGATGTTTGAGCATGTGGTGGAATTTAAACAATGGGAACAGCCAAGTCTTAAGAAAGTTCAGATGACAGTTTGAGGGATCTGTCTGTAAGTCTGTCTCTGTGAGTCTCCGCTCTTGTTTGGGGTAAGGGTCCACTCTCGTCCATTTAGATAGGACACATCTGTTTGTTCAGGAGAGAGTGGCAGTACCTTGATCTCAAGGAAAGCTGGTCCTCTCTTCAGCCCCCCGGGATGAATTGTGACTGAAATGGTCACAGTAACCCAATTTCCCATTGTCAGTAACTGGTCTCAGAGCGGCCATGTGACCCCGGATTAACGCAGAAGCTAGAAATAGAAGGAGGCTGAATACAGATGCTGGGAAAGCTGTTGTCTTCCCAATAAAAAGGAATGACAGAATCGTAGGACATGGCTCTTTCTTCCTTTGCTTTGCCCCTTCACTGGTGTTCAGACGTGATGCCTGGTGACACAGCAGCCATTTTGGGACTATGGCATGACAGGCACCAGAAGAAAGCTGTGTGCTAGTAACAGAAGGTGCAAAGGAGAATGAGCAAGGTCCTTCTTTGGTTGAGTGGCCACCCCGACCCTGGACCGAACACCTCCTGATTTGTACTTATTTGAGAAGAATGAGACCCTGGTACTTGAAATCACTGCACTTGAAATCACCCCAAATCATTTCTGGGTGAAAAGTTACATAGTATAAGAGTAGATGTCAGGAGCCAGCCCTGATGATGAGAGAGGGAGTGTCAGATCTTGAATGGGGAGATATCCAGAAGTGTCTATGAAGGCCAGCTTGGAGCCTTGGGAGCTCACCAAACCGTCTCTGCGCCAGTACACACCTGTCCTGGGTAGAGTTAACTCTTTAATGAACTAATTGTACTAACTGTATGGATCCCTTGTTAGCTGCTGGATATTTTTGTTTTTTTCTGGTGCTGGGGATAGACTAGGGAAGACAGAGAAGATGCTGGCTCTCATTTCCCTACAGGGACCGGAGGCAAGGAACAATAATAAATGAAGGGGATAATCGGAGATAGTGAGAAGTTCTGTATGCGATAGGAAGGGAGCGTTGTGATGGAGAGTTCTAGGAGGTGTGTAGGTGGCCTGAGATGGTGACAGTTGACATGAGCCTTGAGTTGCAGAAGGGAGCCAGGTGTGAGAGACGAGGCCCAGGCCCAGGATGGTGGCGCAGAGCCCCAGGCAGGAAGTCTTCTGCTAGAGACACAGAATGAATCATTAATGGGTGTCCACGGTGAGGGCCTGTGGGCGGGCGCCCGTGCTCATCTTGTAACTGTTCTGGCCACTTGGCTCATGGGCTTGTGATGTAGCTCGAGGCTGTTGACCAGGCTTCCTGCCGCACAGGTGATGTTTCCTGTCCTCTGCTTCAGGCTGTGAGAGCCCTGGGAGTGGGACGGCTGGGGCGGGTAGTCACGGGGACGGACCCCCCTTCCCTTCAAGAATTGACCCGTCATGCTCAGCCACAGCACAGAGGCCCCCCAGGGTCCCAGCTTCCCTTGCAACAGCATCAAGCCCGTTCTGGAAAGACGAGCAGAGCCTCCAGCGCTCTCAGCACCATGCCCCAGTCACCCGCGTAACTTACAGTCCCCACACTTGACCTGCTTTCCTGTGGCAAGGCCAACGCAGAGAGGCAGGAAGACTGGCGGGGCGCGTGGCCGTGACTCCCAGCCTGTCATGACTGGTCGTATCTGACATCATCTCAAGTGATACTGATCAGTGAAGCGGTCACAAGAGGTCACAGGGCTAGAAACTCCCCAGAAGTCCTCCTGCCCTGCGTTCCCTCATGTACCTGGCGTTACCCAGAACAAAAGTGTGGGAGGCCCCACCCCGTCCAGCTGGTTGCCTGCGGAAGCAGGTGCTCACCTAGTCCCAGCAGAGAATCCAGTTCTCTTTTCTCTAACTCTTGAACTTGCGGGGGGGAGGGGGGGTTGCAGTTAGAAGCACTGTCATTATATCCTATCCCTGGGCTGTGAGACTGCCTCTCGGGTCCTGTGTCATGAATGGGACCCTAGATGAGTGTTCACCGTAGGAGAGCAACCCGGCCTGGAAATACCCAAACTACCCTTGTGAAACCCTGGCTCACTTCTCTTGCATCTGGGACCAAATCAACCACAAAATTTCAAAATTGGGAGACACTCCGGTGATTAATATGCCTCCTCTTATAGATGGGGAGGGGGGGAAATGAGCTGGCCAAGGTTCGTCCTCACGCTACAGAGCAAGGCTCTTTGGGAGGCACATGGAGCTTTCTCGGATGTTGACCGCATTCTGCTGTGACATGCTGCCTTGACTTATGGAGCAAAGAAAACAAACTCACATGTCACCGATGTGTATAAAGTTCTTTGTTCCTCCGTCTGGGTTGAATCACTGTTCCTCTGTGATAGGCATTCACTGTTCTCATTTCAGACAAGGAAAGTGAAGAACATGAATCCGTTTAGTAAGTGGCAAAACTGAACTCAAGCTCAGGCCTCCCGGTTTTTATTCGAGAGCATTTCCAAGTCCGTCTCCACTTTTGTCCTCTGGGGGTTTAGGGGCAGAGCAGAAGTTAGCCGTAACTTAGGGTGGGATCCGCAGCAGGTGTCCTCGGGTGCTAGGAGCAGGGTCCTCAGGTCTAGAAGCAGGGTCCTTGGGTGCTAGGAGCCGTGTCCTTGGTTGCTAGGAGCAGGGGTCCTCGAGTGCTAGGGCCTCTAGGGGAAAGGATTCTGATTATTAGCGAACACTCTTGCCTTGCCATGTGAATACTTCCCTCTTAGAGCCCCTGTATCTGAGGCAGAGTTCCCATAGATCCTATCGTAACTGGGTGCCGCCATCTACTTACTTTAATTGCCACCTCCGGGACACAATGGCACAGAAAAGTCCAAGCCATTAGAACCAACTGGCTCTGTCCAACTCCTGGCTCCAGCACGGACTCTGAGTGACCTGAGACCTCTATCACTGAACCTTGTGCTGTCTCAGTGTTCTTATCTGTAAAATGGGGCTAGCAGTAGTACCTTCCTGGGACGGTGGCTGCAGACTAGAAGAGGTAAAGCTCTTAGAAGACGAAGCAATCAATAAATGTCAGCGGCCGCTTTGTTGGCTCTCCACACAACGGAAGGAATCCAGTCACAGAAGCGAGTTTTCTCCAGCGGTACAGAGAAGATATGTTCACCGCTCCTGATGACGGGTAGGCATCCCAGGGTGAGAAGTATACCAAGATACACTCATGAGCGCTTCACAGCTTGACTCTGGAGACTGAGCTCTCGCAGACCCTCTACTACAAGGGTATCTTCTTCTCTGTCACCGTCTCCCCTCCAACAGCAGAAGGCTTTGGCTGGCCCACCCGAGAGGCTACATCTTGCCTGCAAGTTATGCCTATAGAAAAAAGAGAAGTAAGAGCCTCTTATGTAACTCGAAGAGTACAAAAGATCCGATGATAAAAGCCACTGCCCTGAACTTTTCCAAAGCACAATAAATCCCTGCCTACCATCCTCTAGTCCTTGGCAAGGCATCCTTCGTCTGGCTTTCGTAGACTAGGAAAATAGTTAATGAACCCACTCCCATTAGGTTGTGTATTTGTGCTTAAAGGCTACGGAAAGGCTACTATTTCAGTGGGGTCCTGTTGTCTAAAATACGCCCCACGTTTGCTTTATGGTTTCTCGGTGATATTCTGACTTTAATTTGATTGCTTCCTGTGAATGGGTATAGTCCCTGGAGAAAAATGATTCTCCCTCTCCCCTGTCTCTCTCTCTCTTTTTTCCCAGCCTCTACTTTTTTGTTTAGATCATCTCTCTCCTGACCTTTCAGCAGCTCAGCACTTTTTTTTTCCTTCTTTTTTTGCAGTGCACGAGCAAGGCTGGAAGACAGAGCCAAGACACAAACTGCGAAGCAACAGCTCAACCGCCCAGAGCGAGTGGGCTTTGCACTATTTCTGGCCAGAGCAGATGTGGCCTCGGTGGGCCGTGGGGAACAGTATCCCTCAGGTAAAAATAAACTCGTACCATTAGGACCCAAAGGATGCCGATTCCTCATTCCCAAGCAGATCGTGAACTGGGAGCTGTGTGGAAAGACGACTGGTTTGGGAATCCGACAGGGTTCTGCCCTGGATTTCTTCCAGACTGCGCTACCAATCGGCCATCTGGTCTCGGTGAGTGCATGTGACGTACACATACATTTTTTAAAATCAACAACACTAAAAATAAGGCAAGCGCGGTAACACAACTGAGTGCTGCCACGGAGTGCGTTCTAGGCAACAGTCCTAACGTTTCGTCCAGCTCCCTGCAGAGTAGCGGAGTACTTGGCAGACTCCTCCTGGATCCCGTTTCCCTGCCTCCCAGCCCAGAGACAAACACTGCCCGGACCTTCCTGCTCTCTGGACACCCACATCTTTCAGCTGTGGGTGCTGCCATTTTGTTTTAAAACTTCAAAATTTTAAAACTTGAAAGTAAATGGAAACACACTTTACGTTCTGCCACTTGCTGTTTTGTGTGTGTGTGTTTTGTTTTTTGGGGTTTTTTTGTTTGTTTGTTTTGTTTTTCCCATTGAGCTTAGATTTCAGCAACATTTTTCTGGTCCATTCGTTTTAACCGCTCTGTGGCATCATGCTGCACGGACAGCCTGCCGTGTGTTTTGTCGATCCTCTTGTTGGTGAACAATTAGGTTGCTTCTTATTTTGTACTACGATAAACAAGGCTTCAGTGAATGTTCTTATATATTTCCTATACTAACGTGCCAACGTTTCTCTTAGACGGCGTTTTTTCAGACTGTTTTGTCTATACCCACCGTTAAAGATACACCTTTCATGGTCGCCCAGCCCATGGGTTACACTGTGTGTGTGTGTGTGTGTCTGTGTGTGTGTGTGTGTACACATATATGTGGAAGAAAAGGTTCCCAAAATAGTGCCCATATTTTCTATTCAGTTACGATCCAGTTTCGTGTGGCCTGAAAGAAAATGTATTGGTTACAGCGTACTGAAGGGATCCTCTGAGCCATCTCTGTGAGGCTTTGGGTAAACACCGTTCTGGGACACATGCAATCCCTGGGTCATAGGTTATACCCAGTTTCAAATTGAGGCATTCTTTGTGAGTCTTCGTGAGGTCATGTTAAGCACAGACGTGTATAGTTCCCTTTAGTTAGCATTCTAGCTAAGGAAGGAGGCTCTTAGGTCATTTCGCCTGTCCTGTAGCTGGAAATGAAAGTCCTCTTTTGAGTTTCTGGGCTTTCATTTTTCATCTGTCACAAGATACCAAAACAAAACAAAAATACTAGACTCCAGTATTTTGCAGACTGCTTTCTCATCAGCCCTCGGGGTCCTGGGAAAGACTTCAGGGTCGGCCACAAAGTGTGGAAGTTGGGGGTGGGGGGGTAGAGCAGGGAAGGGGACAGAAGGAGGAGATGGAATCCTGGGCTTCTCCTCGCAGTTCCTTCCAAAGGATTCCATGGTAGTATTTCTCCACTGTATTTCCATTACATTTACTTCGCCAAAGGAAAAAAAAAAAGGTGTGCAGGTTGAAAATATTCTTAAACTATGGGTTTAGATGCTCTCCAAGGCTCTTTCCAGATCTAAACTTGAATGAAAATAATTTTGGAGGCTCGGGGCCATTTAAACTTGTAGCCAGAACCAAAGAACGTGGCAGTTGAGGGGTGAGGGCTCTGGCAAGCAGGGCTGGCCACCTAAGAGTCGGTCTGTCCCTCTGCCACTGTGGGAGCTGACATGGACTGGGGGCTCTCAGTGACCTCTGGACACTCTGCAGCTGGGGTGGCCACTGTGGGGATGGCCATGTCTGTCCTGTCCTATGGGCTCCTTCCACATGAGGCTGCTCTAAAAAATTCTGTTTTCATCATGCTCGTTTATTCTGTAAGGACTTAATAGACGTTTTTCTGGGCGTCATTTCTGCCTCCACAGACTGTTCCCCGTGCTCACAGCGAAGCTCGTTTGCTCAGCGGGGAACACACACAGTTAAACCATTCTGTTCACAGAGATGAAATTTTATTATCATTTTAATGAAACTGTTCAGCTCCTCTCCGGTTTATTTTTGCCTTCCCAAATATAGTAAGGTCATAAAAGGAAAGAAAAAAAAAATGGCAGTGAGCTGGTAGTAAAGTGACTTCGGGGTGGGCAGATGTTAATTTCTGCGGGACCGTGGATTCCTTCCGGAATAGGCTGGCTTTCCGTCTTGCTCCCGGCACCTCCCGGGCTGGACGCCTGCCTCCTCTCAGATGGCAGCCCTTCCCCTGCATTTGTCCTGCTCGCATTTCATCTTCCTTAATCACTGTTTTCATCACATCGCTCCCAGGCTCAGAAACCCTCCAGGGATCTTCATTTCCCACCACGTGAAGTCCAAATGACGCTGCCTGTTTCCGAGGCTTCTCCTAATCTAGTCTTTCCTTACCTCTCCGGCTTTATTTCCTTTGCCAGATGTGGTTCTGGTTCCTGTGGCTTAGAGATAATGGAATTTTTGTACACATCACCACCCATCCGTCCCCCCCACCGCTCCAAATTTGAAATCTGCATCTTTTTTTTTAGAAGATTTTATTTATTTACTTGAGAGTGAGAGAGAGCATGAGGTAGGAGGGGCAGAGGAAGAAACAGGCTCCCTGTGCTGAGCAGAGAGCCTGATGTGGGGCTGGATCCCAGGACCCTGAGATCATGATCTGAGCTGAAGGCAGATCCTTGACCAACTGAGCCACCCAGGCACCCCTGCATTTTCTTAAGTAAGTTCAGCCTAGTTGCCTTAAACACAACAAAGCAGCGAGAATTCCTTCCCTCGCCACAGGCTATGGCAGCGTGGCTACGGGACTCTCTGGGGCCAGCAGGGGAAAGGAAGCAGTTTATGTCCCTCTGTCCCTCCGTATCCCAGGAGAAGATGAGGCACTGAAAGAGGTAACTCTGTTCACTAAAGTCCTTGCTGAAAAGCTCTGCCAGTTTGACTAAACAGGCAGAATGCACCAACTCCGAAGACAAATGTGGAAGATATTCAATTTCAAGACGGGAAGGGCTGGTGCAAAGCCTTTGGAGAAAGGTCCGCCCTGGCTCAGGCCACAGTCAGCAGGTGACTGAGCCCCGGAAAAGATGCTGTGGGGGCTGGTAGAGGAGAGTCCGGAGAAGGCTAACCTACCGGGGCAGGCTTAGCACATCCGCAAATACAGTTTCTTTTCAATTTCATATTTAGTGTGTGTGTGTGTGTGTAGGGACGTTGTCCTTTTGTTTTTCTAGAACAATTTCCATAAGTCCTCATTCGTCCACTTAGCAGCTGTATGATTGGGGGCAAGTTTCTTTACGCAGAAAGTGGAAGCAATAATGGTACATCACACGCGGCGTTGTTGTGGGGACCGAGTGAGGGAACGCCTGGAAGAGCACGGCACGTGGTCCAAGACCAAGATATTAGCTATTATTACTATCACAGTTATTAGAAGTACAGGTAAGTGGCTCTTTGTCTGAGCAGCTGCTGGAATTCCACCTTCTCTCACAATACCCTCAGGTCACGTGAGGTGAGCGAGCATTCACTCAGCGCTCAGTACCTGCCACGCACTGAGGGGACACGGAGGAGTCTGACATGTTGATCTTGCCCTTGGGTAGCCTGCCTTCTAGCAGGGAAGACAAACCTGTGAGTAGATGATGTCAGGTTTTTATTTGTTGATTTTTTTTGGAGATAGAGCATGCGTGCAAGGGGACATAGGGAGAGAGAATCTTAAAATCTTAAGCAGGCTCCACACCCAGTGCTGAACCCCATGAGGGGCTCGACCTCACAGCCCTGAGATGACCTGAGCCACCCAAGTGCCCCACATTCTTCTAGTTGAAGGCTGGGCTGGCAGGACCGACCAGCTAGTCACCGCTAGCCACGTGGAGCTGCTGCGACTGCGTTGAGATGTGTTCTCTATGTAAAATACACAGTGGATATTTAAGAAAATGTAAAATATCTAGTAATAGCCAGCATGGTATTGATTACCTGTTGAAATGATGACGTTCTGGGTATACTGGGTTAAATACAACATAATTTTTTTTTTAATTGAGATGTAGTTGACACACGATGTTGCATTAGTTTCAGGTACACAACATAGTGATTCAGCAAGTCCGTGTGTTATGCTGTGCTCACCCCACGTGCATCTTCTGTCCGTCCCTGTAGGACACGCTCACAATACCACTGACTCTGTTCCCTGTGCTGCACCTTTTATCCCTGTGACATATTCACTCCGTAACCAGAAGCCTGAATCTCCCACTCCCCTGCACCCATTTTTGCCCATCCCCCTACCACCCTGCCCTCTGGAAACCATCAGTTTGTTCTATTTATGGGTCTGTTTCTGTTCTTTGTTCCCTTTTTTGTGGATCCCACATACAACTGAAATCATGGTATTTCTCTCTCTTTGGCTTATTTCACTTAGGATAATACCCTCTTGGACCATCCATATTATTGCTACACACACACACACACGCTACATTTTCCTTAGCGTTAATCTATCAGCGGACACTTGGATTACTTCCTTCTCTTGGCTATTGTAAATAATGCTGCAGTAAACTTACATCCTTTCAATTCAGTGTTTTTTTTCTTACATCCTTTCAATTACTCACATCCTTTCAATTCAGTGTTTTCTTTTTTTCTGGGTAAATACCCAGGAGTGGAATTATGGCATCATATGGTGTTTTTATTTTAATTTTTGGAGGAATCTGCATATTGTTTTCCCCAGTGGCTGCACCAGTTTACATCCCCAACCACAGGGCACAAGTGTTCCTTTTTCTACCTGTCCTCCCCAGCACCTGGTGTTTCCTGCCATTTTTAATTCTAGCCATTCTGACAGATAGAAGGTGATACCTTGTGGTTTTGATTTGCATTTCCCTGATGATGAGTGATATTGCGTATCTTTTCACGCGTCTGGTGATCATCTGTATGTCCTCTATGGAACTATGTCTCTTCATATCTTCTGTCCATTTTTAATTAGATTATTTACTTTTTTTGGTGCTGAGTTATATAAATTCTTCTTCTATTTTGGATATTAACCCTTACCAGATATATCATTTGCAAATAACTTCACCCTTTGAGTAGTTAGTCTTTCTGTTTTGTTAATGGTTTCTCTTACTCTACAAAAGCTTTTTATTTTGGTGCAGTCCCAATAGTTCATTTTTGTTTTTCTTTCTCTCGCCTGAGGAGACATATCTAGAAAAATGTTGCTAAGGCCAGTGTCTAAAAGATGACCGCCTTTGTTTTCTTCTAGGAGGTTTATGGTCTCAAGTCTCACATTTAGGTCTTTAATACATTTTCAGGTTTGTGGGTTTTTTTGTGTGGGTGTATAAGAAAGTGATCTAGTTTCATTTTTTGCATGTAGCTGTCCAGTTTCCCCAGCACCATTTATTGAAGAGACTGTCTTTTCCTCATTGTCTGTTCTTGCCTCCTTTGTTGTAGATTAATTGACCCTATAATGGTGGGTCTATTTCTGGGCTCTTTATTCTGTTCCATTGATCTATGTGTCTATGTGTCTGTTTTTGTGCCAGTACCATACTGTATTGATACTAGAGCTTTGTAGTGTATCTTGAAACCTGGGATTGTGGTACCTCTAGGTTTGTTAAGATTGGTTTGGCTATTTGGGGTCTTCTGTTGTTCCATACAAATCTTATTATTCTAGTTGTGTGAAAAATGCTATTGGTATTTTGTTAGGGATTGCACTGAATCTGTAAATTATTTTGGGTAGTATGGACTACCCAAACCCATTGGAGGTCCCTAATAGCTAAACGTGTGAATGCCATCATACATATTCTCCTTGGACTCAATGAATGAGAACATATCAAAAGCTCTCACCTTCCTCTAGGATTCTCATTCATTAGGTCTGTATGGTAGTGAGCAATTTTAAGCTGCTATCTGCTCTCTAGGACTATGTGCAGAAGGGAATATTGGTTCTTCCCATCCATGAGCATGGAATAACGACTTGTTTGTGTCTTCCTACATTTTTTCATCAGTGTTTTATAAATTTCAGAGTATAGGTCTTTCATCTCCTTGGTTAAATTTATTACTAGGTATTCTATCTTGGTGTTGTAATTGTAAATGGGATTTTTTTCTTAATTTCACTCTCTGCTACTTCCTTATTAATGTACAGAAATGCAACTGATTTCTAGGCATTTGTATCCTGCAACTTTATAGTTATTTTAATAGTTTCTTAGTGGCATCTTTAAGGTTTTCTGTGTAAAGTGTCATGCCACCTAGAAATAGTTACCATTCAACTTCTTCCTTACTTTCCTTACCCCCCAAAAAATATATATTCACCTGTTCCCTTTTTTAAAAACTGCACTACTAGAAAATGTAAATTTATGTGACTCCGGTTCTATTTCTATTGGACAGCAGTGGTCTCCGGTGATGCAGGATGCTGTGGGGACCAGTGGGGCAGCATGTCATCCAGTCTGGGGTGCAGGAATGCTGCCTGGAGGAGTGGATGCATCTGAGCTGAGTCTTAAAGGTGGAGCAGAGGTCATCCAGGTAAGGACACATCTTGAGGATATTCTGGGTTGAGGTACCAGGAAAGCAAGGAAAAGTGTGGTGTTGGGGAGGAGCCCTGGAAGGCAGCCAGTCATTCCCCAGCCTAAGGCATTAGAAGTTGGGGACTGGACGATGATGAAGCTGCCTGAGAGGTGTGGCCTGATGTCCTGCCACTTAACATCTGGTAGTCATTAAATGCCCTGGTCCTCATCTTATATGGGAGGGCTGGTTAGGTCTCCACTCTTTGTTTGAAGTTTTGGGCTATCCGCTGTTACCAGCTGGAAGTTTATGTCTCTACAAGAATAAGACCACCCTGGAAGATAGGACTAATGTGTGTACATATGCTGCTGGGAAGGCAGGATGCCGTTTTCCCTTCTGCACATAGTCCTAGAGAGTGGGTAGTAGCCTAAAATTGCTCCCTAGAGTGTAGACCTAATGAATGAGAATCCTAGAGGAAGGTAAGAACTTTTGATATTTCTCATTCATTGGGTCCGAGGAGAGTATACATGAATGCATTCACACCCATTGATCACTGACCTCCAGTGGGACTATTTCCCACCCCCAAATTCTCACCAATAATACAGTTGACCTTTGAACAACACAGGTTTGAACTGCGCTAGCCCACTTATATGCAGTTCTTTTTTTAAACAGGACACCACTGTAAATGTATTTGCTCTTAATATAATACATATATAAAATATGTTTTAACTCTGTGATCAGTCAGGATTCCAGTCAACAGGCTATCGGTGAAGTTTGGGGGAGTCGGAAGTTGTACGTGAATTTTTGACTGTTGAGAATTGGTGCCCTCCACCTCTGTGTTGTTCAAGGGCCAAGGGCATAATCATTTATCCGATGATGTTAATTTGGAAGCTCATTATAGCCGTTCTATCCCAAATCACTCTCAGGTCTTCTGCCATCAGTAACGAATTATTAAAAGGATATTTAGTAGGTCACGCAAGGTGAAAGAGGACTGGCAAAAGGAGACGGTGCAAACCCAAGTGGATGGAGAAGCTGGAGAGGGAGAAGACATCTTCAAGGTTTGCTTCCCACTCTCTGCATGTGACTCACACAGGGATTTTCTGAAGGTGCCAGTTCTAATCCCTTAAGCTGAGGGGGTGGGAGCAACAGTCTGTATTTTTATCTAGCTTCCGGGTGATGTCAGTGCCGCTGGTCTGTGGACCTTGCGTTGAGTTGCAAGGCCTACAGGGTCCGTTTAGTGCAGTTCTTTACCATGGCTGGAATTTGCATTGTGACAGCCGTGGTGAGTCCTTGGACGCCTCGGAGGGAAGACCTAGAGCCTCCTTTGTGCTTCGCGTCTTCCTCCTCTGTGGAGTGAGTCTAACTGTTGGAACAGTTTTTCTTGTCCCTAGATGCGCTCTGGGAAATCTCTGTGCATCAGTCCTCATTCTGTTTTTGGGAACCCTGAGATACGGAACCTGATCTCTCTCTCATGACAACCAGGTGGAACTCGGAAGAGCACTTTTGTATCTCCCTTCATTCCTTCAGTAGATTAAATCTCCTCCTCTCCTTTAGCTGTTCATGATGGCGCCCTCCGGACTGCCCCAGGAATCTGTGCTTTAAGTGTGCCTCTCCTAACCACACACAGCATCCCAAGCTTTGTCTGACTATCAGAGAATAAAATGGGCCTAGTACCGACGTGCCTGTTGATTCTCTACTTCGGCCAGAGTCCCGCGTCGTCCTGGCATGTTGATACTCTTGGGTATCAGTGCTTCCGAGCCCTTTAGTGGACTGAGCTAGAGAAAAGTGTGTATGCTTTTGTGTGCAATTAGGGTCCAGTGATTTTCGTATTTGTCCGCACACCCATCCATCTGTAGAAAACCCTGAGTCTACAGTGACACTCCACTCCAGGTCAGCTGCAGGTTGTTCTAGTGTTTTCCCTTTCCATGTTTATAACTCCCTTCCTAAGAGTAAAAAACCCACCCTCTGACTATCTGGAAGATCGTTACCTGTGTGACCGAACCCTCGGGTAAAACCAGTCCTTGGTCCACCTCCACCGTCCTCTCCCCACGCATGGCATGTTCATGCCACCCAAGTTCCAACACATTCCCACTTCCTTTGGGATCCAGCTAATAGCTTCCGGGATGAACTATTTGGGAAGGGATGGGAGAGGGGGCCAGAATGAGGAGGAGGAGAAAGTTGATTTTCTCTTTTGACTCCTAATTTAGTGAATTATGCTAATAGGTTTTCTAATACTGACTCATCATTGAACTTCCACATTGTGCCCTGCTTTGATTTTTCTACTCTTTTATTTAAGATTTCTTGGCAAGTTATTTTGCTAATATGAAAAGGCTTTGTAATGCTAGACATTTTCTTAGACATTTCCTTAGATTCATCCTTTTTTATTTCTACAGGGGGAACACAAAGCTTTTCCTGACTTCCATGGATTTCTCCAGAGCCTTGGCTTTTGGAAATTCTACCAGAATGACGGCTGCATTTTTAGTGGTGGAAATTATTGATATGTCTCAAAAGCAAGGAATCAGAGAATATCTGTTTTCCAGAGGCAATGTATGACTTCCACCAAAGCCACACCAGTATTTCTAATACCTTAATGAGTTTTTTTTTCATAAGAACAGAACTAAGATTCCTATCATTTCCTGGAATCTCAGACAAAAAAAAAAAAAAAGGAAAGAAGAAAGAATTCAACTAGATACCCATTTGTTAGCCCAACATTGGAAGGGATCAGCCTTTGATTGGTGAGCAAATCAATACCAATACCACTATCCTTCATATCTTCATATCCAGCCTGCCCCCAAAGATTTTCTTGGAACCCACAAGAAGGTTAATTGAAAAGATAAATCTGCTTTGGAAAGCATTTGCCTTTTAAACAGAGATGGAGTTTGGGGAAGTGCCATGTAGACATTTATCATTCTACAAATCATACTTATTGTCCGTGATCCGAAACCTGGAGCAGGTTATGATGGTTAAGTAATGTCCGCAGTCTTGCTCTTTGGGGTGATCATTACCACACTGCCTTGGGTCTTTTAGGCCTAAAGTGCGTGTGTTGCTTCTATGTATCTGAGTAGTTAATTTTGGAGGCAACCATGTTGCAGATCTGATCTCCATCCTCCGACAGATAAGGCCTGGATTGCTCTCCTTTTTATACTTCATTGTTCACACTTTCTTCCCCATCTCCCACCAGCCCTCCCACCATTTCTATTTAAGGAAGATATTTATTATATATGTAGATTTCTCCCAAAAGATCTACCTATGCCACACGCACACGCACACGCACACGCACACATACCCACAGTCCATGTGCACATCTCTTTTTTTTTTCTTGACTAGGTCACTGCTGAAAAAAAAAAATCTGAGTATGACAGAAGCTGGTAACAGAGAGGAGAAGGATGGTACTTTTTGGTTGCTGAAGTTTACAATTAATTTTCGCCATAATAAGTTGACTGTTGGGGAACTGTGCTTCCCTGTGAATTGCACACTTCAGCTGTGTCCCTGGCTCTGGTCACCCACAGAGAGAGTAATTATCCACATAAGGAAATGCCTAAAAACAAAGAATAATTAGAAGTAGTCTTTCAGAAGCATGCTCGTTTGTGAAACTGGTGGGTCACATTCGTTTTAGAAGCACATCAACTGGGATATGGTCTGAGCCTGTGATTAGAGCACTCGTTCATTCAACCAGCAAACATTTACTGAGAGCCGGCCACATGCTGGACACTGTCCTAGGTGCTGGCGAGGTACTCCTAAGCAAAGAGAAATATGAGCCCTGATGGTAAATTTAAGAACTGGTTTTCCCCCAAACAGAAGCTCTGATTTTTCATTTTTGCCAGTGTAAATATGAAAATTCAGAGTGTCAATACTTCCACCATAACCAGTTTCAAGCTACCCGTGTTCCTCATTGCCTGGCACATAGAAACCGGCAACCATCATTATAGTCCTATCTTGATCCTAATTAGCATCGTTGGGCTTGCTGTAACAACATAAAAAGAAACTCATGACCTACAGGGGAAGTCTAAGATGTACTCAGAGGTGTGTGTGGAGAAGAGTCTGAAAATGCACACTGGGTGTGGTACGATAACCTCAGAAAGAAATAGGACATTGCTCTTTCCTTTTTACTGAAAATCTGTAAAATGCAATTTTCATTAGTATGCATTTTTTAAGTTTTAAAGAAAGAATTTACAGTGTCCAAGTGGAACAAGCATCGCTTTCACATGATCTGGACCCAAGAGTGACCAAATGCCGAGGGGATGCGAGCCAGTTGTTAGGAGAGAGTCCTGTAGCCACGATATGTGAATCATTGCTCAAGGACTGTTCAGTTGTTTTCCTGGTGAGAAGCGACTTAAACTACTGGCAGAAGATAAATATCCCAGTTGCTGTAGGAAGAAAACCACCCCCACACTAGCTTAAGCTGGTGATTGTGTTTATTTCACTCACAGGTTTGCAGTTTGGGTGGAGCATGGGGGGCGAACATTGTGTCCCTTCTACTGAAGCCAGTCTACAGGGCTTCCGGTGGACTGAAGAAGTAGAAGACAGTGGATGCTGGGTGTGGGCCGGGGCTGCCGTGGGACTGTGGCTGCAGCATCTCCCTGTGGCCCCTCCAGGTGGTCGGCTTGTCTCCCAAAGGTGAGTGTCCCAGAAGAGAGCCAGGTTCAAGCTCTATCAACTTTTATGCCCTAACCTTAGAAGTCCCACAACATCTTCTCTCCACATTCTCTTAGGGTGGTCACAAAGCATCACCCAGGCCAAGAAATGGAAAATGAGACTCTACCTCTCTTGGTTGGCAAGAGTGCATGGAACTGGAATACCGATGGGGCCATTTTCAGAAAAGACAACCTGCTCCAAGAATTTCTCTCCTTTTCGATGTCATCAGCACCCCCAGCTGCAGAGAAAACATGGAAGTTAGGCAGGTGGTCTCCATTGTCCAGTGGAATGTGAGTACTGCACCTTAACACCAAAAGAATGCTTTGTAAAAGCTATAAATTCTTACCTGGGAAACCCAGCAGATGTTAGCATTGTGTTCCCCATGTCTAGCGCAGCCATGGTTTTTAAATTAATTTCCATGTCAACTGTCAGATTTGTCTTAACTGCAAAGCAAATGGACTCCTTACAGAGATGGTGGGAGTCTGTCTACCTTTGTTGGGTTGGACTCTGAGTTTGTATTTTTGTCTCTAAGCTTACTTCTCAAATGCAAACTAAGAGCACAGAAAGGAGATTCATGAAAATGAATGTTTTTCAAAGGAATGTTAGATGTTCCTCTTAATGCATATAGGTGTCCTTATTTCCTGCCAGCCACAGGATATACCAGGCCATGGTGAGCTCAATATGGTCCTCAGAAGTCCAGTGCTTTCCTCCTATTATTTACTTATTAAGGTTTGAGTCCGTTCATTCATTTGTACCCACAGTGTCCCTTGGTTCCCACTGGAGCATGCATAAATAGAACATAGTAACAGAAAAATACCAAAGATGTACAGATTACCCATACAGTAGCACTTAGAGAACTGTCAGAAAATACCCAATTAAGGCAGTCTACTAGATTTGAGTCTTTCTTTATGGTATGAATTGGTCACCCCAAACCAGTTGTAAATTAGACGTGCAGGGATTCTCATTTGTAGAGATATTATTGCTGGAAGTTTGTACTTCTTTGAACATACCCAAGTTCTTGCCTTATTTCAGAAGATGAGGTCACTGTAGCGGAAGTCTCAAAAGCCAAGCTCCTTTGCCAATTGACTATTCATGGCTGGATAAATCAAATTGAATTTGAACAAAATTCTCTCCCCAAATACCTTCTCGTTCAGGATGAAGACAACCGTGGGACATTTAAGACAATATTTTGATTCTCAGAAATTTGTTGAAATTTTGAGCAGTCCTTTCCTCCCGTAACGGCAGTGCCAAAAGAGCAAAATGAGTCAACTGACTGCCATTATTGTCCCTGCTTCAATGGAATTCAAATATTGTGTCTCCAAATATTTCTGTTCCTGATAATCCTTATAAGGAATATTTGCTGGTAATCCCGAGCTCAGACAGTCTGTCTGGTGGCTCTTCACTTTGACAGCTTTCATACAGCTCATTCTTGGGGCTCACTTCTGCTTCCCAAAGATGCAGGCCAATAGGAGCCGAAGGAATATAGACTCTGTAGGGATTCCCCTTCGGATCCTGGGAATCAGCCGAGCCTTGGGATCGATTAACCTAGGTCATTTGCTAACTCCTGAAATTTTTGTGAAGAAGTTTGCCTTGATAGAGGTTCCTGTGGCTCGGGGCAAAACAGTGTTACAATTCCATTTCTATCCTTGGTAAACATTTTACAGTAGAAACTCAGGAATACACTGCAATTTTATATATTGACTCACTTTGTAGTAGAAGCTACAGCTTTGAAAAAGAGATGGGGAAAGGCATTCTAGTTCATAAATCTCATCCTTTCCCTCTTGAGCTTTGTGTTTGGGCTGAATTTTTTTTTTTTTTTTTAATATTTAAATGTTCAATGTAATGCTGGTAATGATTATCATTACTTGCTAGATTTTTTTAGATTTCCCAGGCCCCTCCAGCTGGAACTCATGAAATAAAGAATTACAAACTGAAGTGGCAATTACTGGATAGAACCACAAAGAATAAATAAGGTTTCCAGGGCGCCTGGGTGACTCAGTTGGTTGGGCATCTGCCTCGGCTCAGGTCATGATCCCAGGGTCCTGGGATTCAGCCCCGTGCCAGGCTCTCTGCTCAGTGGTAAGCCTGCTTCTCCATCTGCTGCTCCCCTGGCTTGTACATGCTCACTCACATGTAAATAAATGAACTCTTTTAAAAAAGGTTTCCACCGGTAGAAGAGCAGATAAAAGATATCTCCAGGTAGAAGGAACATAAGAAAGGCACAAATGCCTTAGTTGTTTGGCACACTCACGGATGGGGAATAGATCAGTGTAACCAGGACCAGATCCAATATACATGGGAGGTATCGGTGGCTTGAAATATTCAGTCCTCGGCGATGGAGGCAAAGAACTCTATCTTACGTTCTGTTTCCTATTGTCTGGAGTGGCTTTTTGGAGAAATGCATTAAGATGGATTCTGAGGTTGCATCTGGCTTTGAGACTGATTAGGGCTCAGAAGATGGGACAACAGTATCAGCCACATATTTTCTCTTTTATACCCTCTTTTTTTTTTTAAGATTTTATTTATTTATTTGACAGACAGAGATCACAAGTAGGCAGAGAAGCAGGCAGAGAGAGAAGGGGAAGCAGGCTCCCTGTTGAGCAGAGAACCCGATGCAGGGCTCGATCCCAGGACCCTGGGATCATGACCTGAGCCGAAGGCAGAGGCTTTAACCCACTGAGCCACCCAGCCGCCCTCTTTCATACCCTCTCTCAATTTGTCCTGCACTTGATTCTTGTTGGGCTATCTTTGACAAGGGAGTTTTGCTTCTGTTTGCCATCTGAACCCTGTTGGTAAACTGAGGCAGGACTGCTGGAACCTATGAGCTGGTGAGAACCGGGTAAAATACAACACAGTGTTCACCTCGGATCTTCTGAATGAGTGATCCAGCCAAAGGAATGACTGATTAACTATTAATCTGGTTAGTTGTTTGGATGTCCATTTAAAAGCTGTGGGGCACAGGCATATTGTTTTTTTCCAGAAGAAAAAGAGTTAAAGTAGAAATTAGATCCTAGTTCAGTGTTTACCAAGGAAGTGCACATTATCAGAGCAAAGCACCTGATTATACATGTAATCTTTGTTGGTGACAGTTTTTCAATTTAGTAGTTTTTCAGAAACCAAATACTTCCCAAGCTTCTAAGGAATGTAAACATGTATTTACCTACTCTAAGTTGTAATTTACGTGAAGCCTCTTGTTGTTGTTCCCGTTTATATTTACGCCTGATAATCTCATTGGGACACAATATATATAGGCTTTTCATTAGTATCACTTAAAGATTTCGTATCTAATTGGCATGTTCAACTCTAGGACTTTCTCGGGGGCCACACCTTAGCACTCTAAAATCAGGATGTGTACATCGTAATATCTGAAAACCTCTCCCATAGCATTTCTTGTCCGTTCCAACTCTCACCTCCCGCTCCCTCCCCCTGCTACTAGTTATTAGTTCTATGCTGTTTCTGGGCCATTTTAGAATTGAGGAAACAGGGAGACTGCACACCCGACGGATGGATAACCCTTAATGATGTTGCAAAAACGGGAGAATAAGAACGTGACAGCTAAGACGGAAGATGTGTCCCCCTTCCTCTTCGTTTTGAATGTGGCTCTATGTATGACTGGCAGCTGGAAGTTTGACAGGACTCTCCCACCGTGTCTTAAGGTTCTGGATATATCTTTCATGTCCCTTCAAATACTTAATTTCTAACATTCTAAAATTATCTTGGTTTAGTAAGATAATAAGGTAAATTGGTTATTGGTGCTGGAGTGAACAATTTTACTTCTACCTGGAGATTAAGTTCCAAAACTTACAGTGTCCATCCACAGGGAATGGGAAAGGTTTTCCCGTTCAGCCCAGGCTTTGAGAATGGGGCATAGTCCTCTAAGAACATTCTCCTTGCTTCAAGTCTCCTGTTGGGCTCGGTCATGCCCCATGGTGATGCTTATGGCAAGCTCTTAAACATTTCCTGCCCAATGATTTGGACCTTAAAATAGCAGTCTTCCAGCCAACTTAAATCTTCTAGTTGCCACAGACAGGTAAGTTGTGTAAGGCTCAGCAAAGCACGAGAGATACTAGGGGGTCAGACCGCAGTTCAAGCCTCAATATTACCAGCTTTTAGATTTGGGACCTGTCTGGTCACTGCACAGCTCTAAGCCTTAGTCACTGAGTCAAGCCATGCAGAAAATAATCAGTGTAAATGAGGTTTACACATTTGGAACGTGTCAGCAGCAGCCTCGGTGCTGGGCATATAGCACTAAACAGACTTTGTTCCGACTCCTTCTGAATGCTGCTCAGGAGAAGATACAAGGAAGAGTTGCCAGAGGGAGAGCCCAGGCTTGGTAATGGGGTACCCTGGGTAGGTGAACCTTTAGGAGAAAATCCTTCAAGGCTGAGACAGGAGTCATTATGAGTGCCTAAACTTTCTTTCCTGCAAAATGGGGACACACCTGCCTTGGGTTATAATGAGGAAATAGACATGAACATAACATCCCAAAGCTGTGCCCAACAGTTCACTATTGGATCAGAAAACATACATTGAATAGTGACCATCCTAAGCAGTGGGGATTAAAAAATGAGTAGGGGGGCTGTCCCCATCCTCCTGGGTCGCAGAGGCAGGTAGTTGAGGCCTGGCTCACTGGGCTGCCCTATTCCTGCTCTCACCCCACGTGCCTGTTCCCGTGTCTCAAGATCACCTGCTTAGGGAGGCCAGGAACACTTCTCTCTAGTTCACTAGTGCACGTTCATGGCTTCGCAGTTCCTAGTGGACCTTTGCTACTGGCCCTATGCCCTAGAGCAGGTGCAGCTTGCACCCTGCCTTATCCCCTCTCCCTTACCTGTCCATCTCCTGCTTGTCCAACTTTCAACAGCCAAACCTTGCACTTACCTGCCTGCTGGTCTTCTCTGGCTAGCACGGGCCACTCAGGCCATACCGGAGGGAGGGAGCCGTAGAGTGCGGGGAAACTAAGTCCCCCCCCCCCATGGCTCCGCATCCTCTGCCCTCTGAGGAATGAGTTCTAGTTACCCCATGACAATAACTCAATTGATAATTTACCCTACAATGGCTGATTTGCCTTATCTACTTGCCCCACTTCCTTACCAGTGATTTCAGGGCCCCCCCCCCCCCCGCACCTTTTCCCAAATAAACCACTTACATTGGAATCATTGCCTAAATGGATATCTAAATTGAAATGTTCACTGAGCATCCAAATCCTTATCTTATATATGAATGATCCTGCTGCCTATAAAGCGCCCATCGCTCATGATAGGAACTGAAAAGGTCATGTACACTTGCAGCC